TACTCACCAGCTCTCTGATGCATAGTAGGTGACTGAAAAGACCACAGCCTGAAATAGGCACCTTACTCTTCTTATGCAACCTTGCTCTTCAAGCTGACATCACTGCACCTCAGAAAACTTTCCCAGTGCAATATTTCTTTGGACTGCTGGTCCAAAGGCATTAATTGTGGATCTGAGTAAGATGAAATCACTGAGAACTTCAATCTCTTCTCCATCTATTAGGATGTTGGCTCATCCATCTGAGAAACTTTTTTTTAGTTTTAAAGTTATATTTCTTTATCTGGGCGGCAGCACCACTGTGGACATGAGTGAAATACAGGGACGGATACCCTACTGAAACATTACTTCTGGGCATTGCCTTCTCCCAAGCTCCACAGTTTTACACTGTACAGAGTGATGTCCTTGTAGACCTTGAAGTGGTTCAGCCTGTGGTCTGCCCGATCGGGGTTGACCAAGGGGTTTGAATCCCATCCAATTTCCTGCCTTTCAATCTGTGTCTCTGAGTATTTCTTTCTGGGTCCCTGGGCAACGCGGTGAATGAGATTAAAAAACCTGACATATGCAGGTTCTTCTACGTTATCATGCCAAGACATGGGCTTTCGGGTGATTGTGTAAACCTTTTGGAGAGCATTCACGTGATGCTGCATGTAGAGTTTCTGCGTTTGTAACTCTTTGACGTACAATTCTCACAAGATCTGGTTCTGATGGACCTCATCTAGGACCACCTTATCCTTTTGGTGTCCCGCCATTGTTCGGGCTTGCTCTCCCTGCTCATTTTTTTTTTTAAAAAAGGTACCTAGAATCATGATTTTGCCTATAAGTGGCAGTCGTGAGGATTTTTGTTCACTTTTTGACCTTCTGCAGCAAGTATTTCAAGTCCTCCTCACTTTTATCAAGGAAGGATGTATGATCTGTATAACACAGGTTGCTGATGAGTCTTCCCTCCAATCCTGACACCATATTCTTCTTCATCAAGTCTAGCATCTCAAATTATTTATTCAGCATGCAGTTTGAACAGCCCTGCACACATCTTTCTTGATTTTAAAACATGTAGTGTTCCCTTGCTCTGTTTTGATAACCTAAACATTCTTGGTCTAGGTTTCAGTTTCGTATGAGCATAAGAAAGTGTTCTGGAAAACAACTATGAGATATCATTTCACCCCAGTCAAAATAGCAAAATTTAACAGAATAGCAAGCAACAAATGCTGGCGAGGTTGTGGAGAAACTGGAACCCTGATTCACTGTTGGTGGGAGTGTAAAATGGTGC